ACTCTTACAGTTACGTGATGCGTTTCTGGTCTCAAATTGTAGCTTTTTACTTCTTACAGTTTATAAATGTGTGAATTTCTTTTCCATAACACTGAATGTTGTAACAAAGGTAATAAAGAGTTGGTTATTATTATTAAGTCTCTTTCCAGGTCACACAGCATAGGTTAAGCTTATGGGTCTGTCACGTGATAAACGAATGACTCGAAAAACCCAAAGACTCGAGAGATGAACTAATTAATTCTCTTTCCAGCTCAGACTGCATTGGTTAAGCTTATGGGTCTGTCACGTGATGAACGAATGACTCGAAAAACCCGAAGACTCGAAACAGGTGAACTACTTGACTAAACCTAGTTCAGAACCTATAGGATGTTGCGCATGCGTGACTGAACGAATCACTCCCCGAGACGACTCGTTCCTCCCGAGTCACATTAAAGATTCGTTCAAAATGAACGAATCGTTCAAGAACGACCCAACACTAATGGCTTGTTTCTTGTGTGGCACCTTCAAGAAGCATTCTGCACAGCGATGTGATTGAGTTGAGCTCTTTGTGTTTGTCCTTCAAGAATTTGGCACTTTCCTGTAAGTACATTCAGCAGAGAATGAGTTCATCACAGGACGGTGAATAACCACAACATTTCCCCAAATGCACCTGAGCTATACAAGTGCACTGAAACAGGTAAGTTGAAACAGGCCTGTATGTAATTCGCAGCACTTGTTAAATTATTATTGCTCACATGGTTAATGATTTAAATAATTTTTTGCATGTAACTCGCCCCAGAGCATGGACATGAGCGTGTCAAAAAATAATAGTTCTGTCTTGGTCACCCAGGTGAAAAAGACGTAGTATTAAATGTATTAAAAATATACTTGAAATTCAAGTAGTATGTTTATAATACATTTGTATTCCCAACATGCTTATTTGAAGTGCAATAAAAATATATTGAATTGCATTTTCATATATTTCTAAAAAGTATACTAGAAATACTTTTGTATTAAATATATGCTTAGTTATACTTCTAAGAAATATGCTAAACAGAAGCATACTTTTAATGTATTTATAAAAAGTATACTAGAAATACTTTGGTAATAAATATATGCTTAGTTACACTTTTAAGGAATATGCTAAACACAAGCACACTATTAGTATATTTCTAAAAAGTATAGTAGAAATACTATGTTAATAAATATATATTTTAGTTACACTTTTAAGGAATATGCTAAACACAAGCACACTATTAGTATATTTCTAAAAAGTATAGTAGAAATACTATGTTAATAAATATATTTTTAGTTACACTTTTAAGGAATATGCTAAACACAAGCACACTATTAGTATATTTCTAAAAAGTATAGTAGAAATACTATG